GGGCAACACGCGCTTCTCCCTCCCGATGTAAACAAGACGCAGCTGATCACAGGGTGAGTTTATTTATGACTTTACAGCGCGTAGTTGTCTTCGTTGACTGAAGTCACGGTGACACTGATGTTACTAAACGCAGCGTGTATGCGTATCGACCTTCACGGAGCACGTTAAGCGCGGGTAACGTGTATAAGAAGCATGCCCACTAACCTGTACATTCCCAGAGCGGGTGTCCGTAAGTCCTCTCTTGGGGGAGTTAAGCTCACTGGGAGGGAAATTAGCGGTCAGCGTCGGTAGTTTGGCTGACGGCGCCCTCGTCCAGCGTCACCACTGGCTTTCATAACGGTAAAACAATTCTAGCCGTGAAATATACACACATTTGATAGCGGTTTGTTAAACGTGTCGTTTCCGCGCCAAGGCGTCGGTCGGTTACGTGCTGTAAGTGGTATCCTGTTTTCTATATTTTTTATATGGTGTACTATGATAATTTTCGTATATATTTTTTTTAATATATTTTTTTATTTATATATACAAGAGTTCTTACATTGTTGTTAAGCCACTTGAACGCATATTGTTTCGGGCAAGTACTTAATCCTAATTTTCCCCAAGAATACGACCCGCCAAATTGTTTAACAACCTGATACCCATTTACTGCAGAGGCTACAGTTAAGGATTGGCGCCCAGTCAATCCCCCCCGGCCAGGATACGAACCCAGGCCACGGGGGCTGCTAGTTTTTGCGGGAAAATCTTCTCTTAATTACTTGTGATCTTTATTTTTATCAACTGTAATTATTTTAATTAACCGTTTACTTAACCATAGGATTCGAACCAATGTTCAGGGATCAGAACCCAGCCACACACACACCCCTTTAGACCACTACAAGCTCCTACTCATTTTCTCGTTGGCACATTACATTAATGTGATTTATTTGTGCATTGTTGTTATTATTATTAGTATTAGTATATTGTTTTAATCATTAAAGTTACCCCTTGAAGTTTGCAAGTTACAACTGCACTGTTTTCTGTAGTTATTATTTTATGTTAAGAATTTCGTGATTTCGTGAAATCGTGATTTGTGAAATAGCTTAGAAATATATTACACTGTGAGGTATACCCCGCTTATAGGAATATATTACACTGTGAGGTATACCCCGCTTATAGGAATATATTACACTGTGAGGTATACCCCGCTTATAAGAGTATATTACACAAAGAATTTATTTTTAGTCCTGTTATGAAAAGTTGGCTTTTCATTAATCCTATACTGTTTCTGCTTTCAAACTTGTTAAATTTTCATAATTGCATTCAATGTAGCCATTAAAAAACCTTTATGTTCTAGGTTATCTTGCACCCTACCTCAGTCTAAGGTAAGGTCATCGTGTATACTACTTCAGTTTAAGGTAAGGTCATCGAGTATACTACCTCAGTTTAAGGTAAGGTCATCGAGTATACTACCTCAGTCTAAGGTAAGGTCATCGAGTATACTACCTCAGTCTAAGGTAAGGTCATCGAGTATACTACCTCAGTCTAAGGTTAGGTCATATAGTATGTTTCGTCTGACTTTTAAAGTCGCATTTAAGAACACAAGGAAAACGAACTACATTTATTTTATGGTATACTAAAAATCAGCATCATGGATCATTTCGTTCATTTTATATATATATATATATATATATATATATATATATATATATATATATATATATATATATATATATATATATATATATATATATATATATATATATATAATATGTATATTACATATATATATATATATATATATTATATATATATATATATATATATATATATATATATATATACATTGTTGTTAGGTAAAGTTAGGATGGGTTAGATTGGGTTAGGATTGGCTTGGTTTGGTTTGTTTAAGGAATAGTGATGATGGAGACAGGTCAACATTTCTGATATGCCTTCTGTGATCCTTTGTTTCCTATCCGTGAGGTATCTGTTCATCTCCCCGAGCAATGACACTATCTCTTCTTGAGCTTGTAAATGAGTCACCTTTCTGGAAGGTGTTGAATACTCTGGCCGTCTTGGGAGACGCAGTGTGTCTATCTCTCTCTCGATCTCGTTTTATAGCTGTCATCTTGTCATAAAATTCTGATTGGTTTGTTAGTGTGTGTGTGTGTGGGGGGGTGGGTGGGGGTGTAATCACCTTGTTGTACTCACCTAGTTGTGCTTGCGGGGGTTGAGCTTTGGCTGTTTGGTCCCGCCTCTCAACCGTCAATCAACTTGTGTACAGGTTCCTGAGCCTACTGGGCTCTATCATATCTACATTTGAAACTGTGTATGGAGTCAGCCTTCACCACATCACTGCCTAATACATTCCATCTGTTAACTACTCTGACACTGAAAAAGTTCTTTCTAACGTCACTGTGGCTCATTTGGATACTCAGTTTCCACTTGTGTCCCCTTGTTTGCGTACCACCCGTGTTAAATAATCCATCCTTGTCCACCCTATCAATTCCCCTGAGAAATTTGTATGTGGTGATCATGTCTCCCCGGGCTCTTCTGTCTTCCAAAGACGTGAGGTGTATTTCATGCAGCCTTTCCTCGTAACTCATGCCTCTTAGTTCTTTGACTAGCCTAGTGGCGTACCTCTGAACTTTTTTCCAGCTTCGTCTTGTGCTTGACAAAGTACGGGCTCCATCCTGGGGCCGCATACTCCAGGACTGGCCTTACATACGCGGTATACAAGGTTTTAAAGGATTCCTTACACAGGTTCCTGAAGGCTGTTCTGATATTAACCAGCCTCGCAGGTGTGTGTGTGAGAGGAAAACCATAGTACCTCGGTATTCTCTCTCTCTTGCTTATATGGATCACAGTGTGACAGGTCGCATTTGTGTTCCTTCATCGAAAATGATATACTATTTTTAGAGAGAGAGAGAGAGGGAGAGAGTTGGAGAGAGAGAGAGAGAGAACTCGAGCCATGAAAGTGTTCACATCATTTTCTTTCTTGAGGATAGAGCGACGTCATCTCACAGATCCACGACGCTCATTGGACGAGTGAGAGACGTCCTCGTCCAATCAGCGTCGAGATGCACTTTAGTAAACAAACAGCCCAGATGCATGATGGGAACCTTTCCCGGCTCGTATATCGGAGAATATTGTGCGGCTTTTTTCGGAAATTTTTGTCGACTTAGTATTTGTATTATACAACAAGGCTTCAGTTTAATTACAAACTGCAACATGTTATAGAATTTGCTTAAGAATATGATTATACCGTCCATTCTCTCGACTTCTCACTCCGTCAAAAATGCAACAGTTTCCCCCTAACCAAAACGCGTACGAACCCAACCAACCCATTTAATTAACCTATGGAGGTTGATGAATAAAAAAGTCAATATGACGGTAATTTTCTTACTAATACGTCGGAATTTTAACGGATTGGTCAACTCCATATAAAGGTGGGGTGTATAATACGGAAGAGGTCGTTATATACACAACGTGGCTTCTGCTGGAACTGTGAGTATCGAGCTGTGAGGAACCCTGACCTCACACCACTTGAAGAGAAACGTGAACGACGGGACATGATAACGACATATAAAATCTCACGAGAAAACTGATAAGGTTAATTAAGATACTCAGTATAAGTATGGACCGTTGAGGCCAGATGAACCACAGGGATATATCGGAAGGAATTTTTTGTTAAGAGTAAGATTAGTGAACAAATTTCAATAAGGATAGAGAGGTGGAAGTATAGAGAAACCGTGTTGATAGTAGACTTATAAGGGACACAGCATGGTGGGGAGTAACAGTATACAACACACACACACACACACACACACACACACACACACACACACACACACACACACACACACACACACACAGGAGCCTCACGGCTCAGTGGTCAGCAAGAGAGAAATATATGTAGCAAACATCATAGAGAAAAAAAAATAGATAGGTTAGAAAAGCCGGGGCCCAAGAGCTAATAGCTCGATTCTGCAGGCTTCATTATCAATAGATAGGATTATTTGTATTCATTTGACCTGTTGAATAATAATAATGTTGGTAATTAAATCAATACTGCTCTATAATAAAATTGTTGTTGTTAGAGATTCAGCTACTTGGAACACAAAGTTGCAAGTAGCACGGGCTATGGTGATCCCGTAGTGGACATATAATAATATTTATGGCAAACCTTTCAATAATAATGTTCCTAATTTTGTAACAAAAATTATTACATGACATTATTAGTTTTATTGTTGAGTATTTTAGATATTTTGTTGTTAGTGTTTTAGGTGATGAATAGACCACACTCATCAGAAGATGAAGAGACCAGGACGTTTCGGTCCGTCCTGGACCATTAGCAAGTCTTGTGTCTGCACCTCCGACTTGATAATGACCCAGGACGGACCGAAACGTCGTCGTCTCATCCTCATCTTCTTCAGGTATGTGGTCTGATCATCAGATCATCAGCCACGTTACTGTGACTCATCGTCCGCACAGGTGGCACTGGACGTGTTATTCAACAGCCTGGTCATGCAAGGGAACGATGAGGACGTGTATTTAGGCGTGCAAGGTGGCCAGGCTTCCTCCTTCTTCAGCTGGCGACCGCAGAGTGGTTCCCGCCTCGTCCCACACAACTACAACTACCTCATGTTCAGCGACATGAGCAGGGTAGTTCACTTCGAGGATTACATGACCACGCTCCAGAACGACACTCTGATCCCCAACGGCACGAATGGCAGTCGTTTCCTGTCGCACCTCAACTTCGGAGACGACCCGCTACTCTGCTTCGGCGTCTCCTGCCCGGATCAGCACAATAGGTACGGCAACTTTAGCTTCACAATTGGGGTGAACCGTCTACTGAGCCATCTAGCGAGTCAGGGAGCACTTCATGTATACTTCTTAGAGGTGATGGAATTTACGAAAACCAGCGTGTCGAGGATTATGTTGTCTACGAATCCTTCAAACCCGTACCAGCTGCCTCTGTACGACGCCAGCACCGTCGGAGGGCCGTGGTACAGAGACCAGTTCGGCAACAACTACCACTCCCACACCACCAGGAGGTTCAACAACGCTGGCCTCAATCAACACAACGAACTGGAGTTCGTACTGCATCTGTACCCCACGCAGTACCATAAGCTTTACGAGATGCTGATGGTAGAGGCGGTTGACCACAACAAAGCCAATCACCCTAGCTACCGCAGGTGTGTGAAGCACCGCTCAGGTCCTGGTGGCCTAGACAAGAGGTGCCCGACTCCCTGGTCGCGCCAGGTCGCTGAGGAGTATCTCCGCCAGCTTCAAGACTAAGACAACTTTAAGGCAGTCTGCCTCGTGAAGTTCGCCTGTGTTCTTCTTGGTGCGGGCTTCCACGCGGCGGGAAAGCCACAGCGGTTGGGTAGTTTAGTAACTTGTGCAAAATCGGTTTCAATTGTGGGAATTAGTGACGTTTCTCTCTCTCTCTCTCTCTCTCTCTCTCTCTCTCTCTCTCTCTCTCTCTCTCTCTCTCTCTCTCTCTCTCTCTCTCTCTCTCTCTCTCTCTCTCTCTCTCTCTCTCTCTCTCTCTCTCTCTCTCTCTCTCTCTCTCCCCTCTCCCCCCCCCCTCAGCTTGTAATGAACGGAATAATGGTCATTATATAATAGTGAAGATTGTGGGTAGTTGAGGTAATTAAGGTGTGGTCAAGCTGACTACCTGGTCATTAACTATTACCCCCCTACTGGGGGGGGGGGATATGTTAGTACTACTGTGTGTTTAACAATATGTCTCAACTTCAGTGTATAAGAATACAAAGAATGTTTTGGTTATCCACTAATACATATGTCTTTTTAGCTCTGTAAGAATATTGTAAATACGACTTTGTGTTTTAATCTTTAAACTCTCGTCAAGAAATTGTTAAATAAGAATTAAATTATACTATGACACTCTTACACAAAAAGTAACATAATTAAATACATATTTATCTAGTTACATAATCAGAAACAAGTTTGTAAGAAATAAAATATAAATACTAATTAAGAAAGGGCATTTTTTTAATAAATTTAATTTAATCTGTTAGGTCACCATTTTAGTTATAACTTGACATCATTAACCTCATATATTATTATTCTGTATTATGTAATTAATGTGTGTGTGTTAATGGCGGCCAATAGCGCAGTGGCCTACGTCCTGAGCTCGCAACCTCGGGCGGGCCAGAGAGAGAGAGAGAGACTTTTGGTCAACGTTTTCGGCTGATACCTCTGTTCACCTAGCAGCTAAATTAGGTACCCCGGGAGTTAGGCAACTGTTGTGGGTGGCATCACTTCGAACAGGCTAACAGATTTCCTGCTCCCCAACAACGGAAAATTATAAATTTTGCGTTGATATTGAAATGTATTGTATTATAATGTATTTCTCATCGTTTAAAGTTAGCGTGCAACAAAGGTGAAGTTGAATTAGATCTTGGTATCCCCATCTCTGTCAAAACTGTATTGGACCAAACACTCAAGGTCTGATAGGAAAGAAATTACTGATTCCCAACGACCTGAAAGTACTAGTATTAGAAGCTATGATTTGTTCAGATCTGAAACCTATATCTATGGGCAGCACAAAACGTCCACCAGACTGTGCGACACAGTGGTTGCAAGGATCAGGTTGGGTTACCGTTACCTGTGGCAGGTGGCTGCAGGTGACGGATCTCCCAATCCTGAGCACTCCAGGTGCAAACTCTGTGAGCAGGAACTGGGGCATGATCTCTCTCACTACATCACCGAATGCCCAGTTATTAGACCTTTCAGACCAGTTGGCATAAGGTACCTGGAGCTTTGCAATTACTTTATTCACTCTCGTATTCTTGAAGATATCCTCACAGTGTACCCAAAATTTGCCAGTGCAGACTGCATATCACATGCCTCTGTATGACTAACCATCCTGTGTGATGGGGATTTTTCTTAGCATCACCTAGTTAGCTTTTTTGACACACTGTACTCCACTTCATATAGCCTAGGGTAGCTGCACTAATGCAGATGTACCTCATGTATTAAAGAAAACTCATCGTTTAAATAGTGGTCAATTTATGAGTCTTTTTTTTCTGGAATGAGATGTATTTGTTGTAGGTCATGAGTACCATAGTGTGAGTAGTGACTACAAGGACAATAATGTGGTGACCTCATAAATGAGTATCACAAGTGATGACGGGTATTTTGGTGTATTCCTGTAATACTCTAAAAATACACGATAACGGTTACAGGCGTGTATATACGTGTATGGTATAATATTAGCCAGCACTAATGGTGGTCAATATATTCTCTCATGTATTTATATTGGTGATCCAAGATCACCACAAGGGTAACAATGTACCATTTAATTGCCAAAATGGTACAGTGTTACCAATTTGGTAACAATCCCTCATCCCAATTTGGACACTGTCCTTATGCCGCCCATTGTACCTTTTTGTAGTATATATATTGTACCTTTGTACCTTTATATAAATAATATAATTACTCTAAATGCTCGTCAATATCCATAGAAAATGGGTTTCCAAATACCTTTGTTGA